GTACCCCTCCCCTGGGCCCTGTTGGTATCGGCAGTATCCACACTTCCCTCCCTGAGACAGCTTCACCTCCATGCAAGGTGCTTTTTTTTTTTCCCCCCTCTCCTTTTTTTTTTTTTTTTTCTCTTCCCCTTTTTTTTTTTTTTTTTTTTTTTAATCCTACTGTCAAGTCACTGCCTGAACTCAGAGCTTGCGGGACCAAGCAAGCCAGCAGTTGCTGCGGAGCGGGACGGGGCCCCGTGCCCCGCAGCTGCCCGTGTGGGGTTTGCAGGTTTGCTCCCGTGCCAACCTCCCTGGCCACCGCTCAACTGCCGTGAAAACGAAACCAGGCAAGGAGAAACAACTGGAACAACTGTTGCTATGACTTCGAATAAGTTACTGGTGCTAGAAAACAGCCTTTTTTTTTTTTTTCCCTGTGCTGCCTTTGGGGCTCACTACAGATCCTCAGAGTCTGTGCTTTACAGTACTAAGAGTTTCAAAGGTATTGGCAAAGTAGAAAACGCCATGCAGTCGCGAACTGAAGCTCCTCGAATCTGCTTCCGCGGCCGCTCTGTGCGTGTCCGTGCTTGGCAGCGCCGCAGCGCAGGCCGCGCGCGGCCCCGCGCTGGCGTGCCGCGCGGTGACCTTCGGTCGCAGGTTTCAGCCCTTGCGGCTGACAGGAGCGCTGTGCTGCGGCTGAGGGGACGCTGCTCTCCTGCGTGATGCTGCATGGCAGTGTGACTGCCCTCCCTCCCTCCCTGCGTGTCTCGCTGCCTCTCTGTGCTGCTGCTGGCTCAGTCCTTGGCGCTCCTTGCAGCCCCAGCCCTTTTGGTTACCGCGCGTTTGTCAGTGGCCTCCTTAGGCACCTAGTGGCCGTGCAGCTGCCTCCCCCCTGGCGCGCTCACTGCTCGCGCTGTTCCTCACCTGGCTCGTTTCCCTGGCCCCGTAGAGATGGCTCTGCCAGCCTAGGATTATCTGCGACTGCTCATCACCCCCTGTATTTTTCCCCGTGACAACCATTCCCAGGCTGTTGTCTCCAAGCCGTTCCTGCATTCCCACAGCATCACCCTCTCCAAGGGCCTGTCACCCAGGCCCCATTCTCTCTGTCACCAGAATGATGTTTCTTCTGCTCTGTCTCTTCAGATTATATAGGGCCCTGAGTTGATGTGATGCTAATCTGTCTCGCTGTCCTTTCCAAAAAATGACTCTGGCCCAGTCATTTCACTATAGATCCCTCTAAGGAGGAGGAGTGTGGTGCCAGCATAGCCACTAGGTTGACCGTCTTTCTAGCATATTTCACTCATCATCATGGTACCTGGGTCGTTTTACTTTATTTGTACAAGCAGGGCTTTTTCCTCTCCCACACATTTTATTATTATTTGCAGGAGCAGCAGCATTATTACACTCGTAGGAAAGCAAAGGTTGAAGAAACTTCCTTTTTTTTCTGAAGTTGATGGGCTTCATGGTCATACATGGTTATTGTTGAATATTCTTGGAATGAACTCATACCACATAGATGGTACTCCTTTCTCCAATCAAAATTATTTCTACATGCCACAAATGACAAATCTAGGAATTAAGAGTGCAAGATCACTGTGGTCAGAACACAGTCAGAAGGCACTATCTCCTAGCCAGTTTAAAAATAAATAAATTAATTAAATAAATAAATAAATTCTTTAGCATAAGTAGATATTTGACTTTCAAAAATTAGTGAGGTATCTGAGAGTATTCCCAGGCTGCAAGCACCTTCAGCAGCTGGAGGACAAATACATTCTCATGAACTATTCCGAACACTGAGAAATCTTCAAAACACTTTTATCTTCCCACAGTATGGCTTATCTTGCCATCATCTTCTAGTTAGACAACCACTGTTTCTCAAAGTTTGCATGGGGGGTAGCTTGGTG